CTCTATCTCTCTCTGGCGTTGCTGAAAGGTGAACTGAAAATTCCCTCGTAAAATTCTGATTTCTCGATCACTCAGTAATCGCGTTCGTCGTAGGAAATTCCCGTACGAAATGGCGAAATAATCGGCAAATAACGGGCACTTTTTGCACACGCGTTTCTCGTTTCCGAGCCTTTGAGAATTCACAGGATATCGCTAGATCCGCGTGCGTGTTCCATCGTCGTGCTGTCGTTCATCACGGCGGCGTTGCTCTCGTCGAGGCTTATAAAACAGCGAAACAACGACGGAGAACGCCGAAACTCCATTACGGCTTTCCGCTGGGGAAAGTGAAAGCCCCGGAAACGCTAGACGCTCGCCAGCTTCCCGTTTCCACCTGATAACACGAGCCGGGCGATCGATTTCCCGCTCTCGGTCATCCTTTGTCGCGAAAATTTCACCGGAAGCCCCCGAATTTCGTTTCGAGTCTCATCTGGCGACGAGAGAAAGAGAGAGAAGTCGAATTAATTTTTTTTTTTTTTTTGGAAATGATGCAAATGTATTTAACAAACTACGTTTTTCACGATTAAAATTATTAGGAATACTAGAAAGCAGCGGTTTTTTTTTCACCGAAATAATGAATTTCTTCTTCGTATTATTTATACAGATAAATATTAGTTTATGAAATCGATCGAATCAATTTTTCTTCTTTTTCTTTAGAAATAACGCAACTATATTTAACAATAATTACAATGTATCGATCACTAATATTGCAAAGTTTGTAGGAATGATGCATGATTTTTCCTCGTCGTTTTTATTGAACTTTAAAGACTTGATGATTGTCTAGATGATGAAAATTAGAGGAATACTCGAAGTCCAATAAAATGGCGAGGCAAAGTTGCACAGAAAATTCTGACGAGTCGTTGTGAAGGAAAGGCTTCAACCTTCAAGCCCAATTTTAAATTCAATCAATTGAAAAAGTTTTTACATAATATGATTTACATACTTACATAGTTCTTACATACTATGATTTAATTTATAGTATCTTGGAAAAGAAAAGTCTCTTCGCCTTTGCCATCTTTT